CACATAGTCCAGCTTCAGGTCTTTGAGAGTTTTCTCACATGCTCCCCTTACCAGTGATGGAACGTGGAAGGTGCACCACAGCTGAGAAACACACACGAAAAAAGAAGTATCGATTATCTAGGAGGAGAAACAAGCATGAGATGTAGCCGCAATTTTTTTTTTTTTGTCGAAGTGAATTCTGGATGTCTGCAGCCCTTTGAAGGAAGCCAAAACTTATGAGTCATTCCCTGCCAAACACCCTTTAAGAATATTGGTTTGTTTCTATGTATTTTTAAGAAGTCAGCCTTGGGTAATCCATTTTATTATCAATCACTGGGAGGACTAGTAGGCTTTGGATTAAGACCAGTCATTTTCTCCTTTTGAAAAAAATGACGTATAAACCACTCACTTTATATCTAGTGGTTACCACTCTGCCTCTTAGACCACTCCTCGTAGACATTCGTAAGGGACAGTGAAGGCAACTAAGATGACGTTGTGAAATGTTTGTAAATGTCTGGCACATTCTTTCCCCTTTTGCCTGTTCTCCGTCTTATTTAATGGAGTAGGAAAGGAAAAACCGTTTTGTTTTGGCTCCCAATCGTTCATATAAAGAACTAGTCAATAGCTTTGGACAGTTGGTAAGCTTCACTGCTGTACTATGGCTGTTGCCATGTGACTGTCTGGTAAAATCAGTGTATGTAGTACTTATTAGTACTGGATTTACATTTACTTGATAAACCTCAAACCTGCTCCGTTATAAAACTACTAGAATTAGTGACTCAATGGTTGATTGATCATCTCTCAGTTAAAAAAAAAAAGTGGATGGAAATATTAACATAGCCAAAATATTCTTGCTAATGTGCGAACAAGGGCCTAAAGCTCTGAATTATTGTAGAGTTTCTAATGTTGAGCAGGAAACACAGTGAGGTACTTTGTAGCTGAAAAGGAGATGCTACAGGAAAAGCTTCAACAAACATAAGTCTGTCTAGAAACATCTGTTACTTAAGCTAAACGTACAGTGCTTACTGATATTTATAGCCACACAGGCCACATATTTAGTGTGAAAGTTTGATTTCTGTGGTTTGGGAAATTCAGGACAATTTGGAGCATGGCAAACTTTGTTTTCCACAGAATTGATCTGTGATATACGGCCTTATTTCTCCAACAAGCAGTCGTTCTTTGGCGTACCTTACTGACGATGAATAAGTCCTCTCTTTTTACCACTCCTTGTTCAATCATGGCGCGCACTCCTTCCCCAACTTCTCCTTCGTTCTCATACACGAAGGCACCATCTATGTGCCTGTAGCCGCTGCTTATAGCCACCTTCACGGCCTCGGTGACCTTTCCGGGCTCGGCCTGCGAAGGTTTACGCAGATGTACAAACATGCAAACACTCAGGCATCAAACATTTGGGGCAATATTTTGATGTCTTTTTTTGTGTGTGTGTGAAAGTAGTAAATAATGTCTCAATTTGCAAATTATTTCAACCCAAAAACTGCCTAAAAGTAACTGAAATCTTTAGTCGAGCAAGTGTGGGTAAGTCTTGTCGTTTCTGAAGTAGTTTTAATCATGGCCACGTCATTTTTTTTTAATGTTTCAACTCCAAAAACTTTAAAGCTCCTACTTTTTTAGCATGTGGTCCTCTGTTGTACTTTTAGTTACACATACAAATCAAATGACCTTCACACAAACATAAACAGGCAGAGCTCAGCATGCAGTAAAGTGTTAATATTTACCATTGTACGCAGATAACACAGAGGCACAGTGTGATTGTAGTGGTTTCACTACTTATTTCTACTTCAGCAACTCTGGGTATTCGATATATTAGCATTCAAACTTATATTAAAGCTTAAGTTGCTAAAAGTTTATAAAAAGCATTCAGTGAGAGGCAGAACCAACACAGACGAGCTTGGAGTGTATTTACTGAGCAGTTGCAACAAATGTGTAATATCTTAGCCTTACCCTCCAGGTTCCCAGACCAACTATGGGCATCTTGGCTCCATTGTTGAGTGTAACTGCAGGAATCATCTTGATGATTTTTGTATGTCTAATCTAACCTGGTAGCTCAGAAAGCAGCCGGTTAAGCAAAAGATGCCTGCTGCCAGCTGAAGATGCAGGCAGCCTTTTATTTGATCTTAAATGGGAGGGGTTAAAGCCACCAGCCCTGTGCGGTACACATTGAAAAAAGGGGTGTGACTGTTCAAATGAGATTTTATTTTTTTTATCATGCCATGAAATTAGGCCAAATTGTAGAACAACGCTCTATTCATTTCATTCACAGCAACAGTATAAATCAAATCAATGTGACATATTTTTAATGTCTCCAAAATGTTAGACATCCACATTTTCAAGAGGTACAATCTTAAAATGTTCTGTTCTGACATAAAATGAAGGCTACAGATATTTGATTTGCCTTGCTGTCCTAAAAAGCAATGAAATAAAGAGATGTACAAATCTGATTTGTATTCTGTCGTTTGAACAGGAGGTGAAGAAAAGCTGAAAGTAACTCATACTAAAAGATGACTCAGCAGAAGATGACATATTGAAAACCTTTTGCTAATCAGGTGTGCGTTCAGTGTGTCGTAATCAGAGATGAAGCAACAAATTGTGGTACAAAGTGACGTTTGTAGGTAATTATTAATGAAGCTGTAATTAAACGGCGGTGGTTATTGCTCTGTGACGCCCTGTTGACCGAAAACTCGTAAGAAGCATGTTGGCTTCAGTTGAGTGGGAAAATGAACTGTTCGAGTGCTGTATCAGTTCACTTCATTCAGTGACACTTCATGGGTCCATTTCTGTCCAAATTAAGTTTACATTGGTACAATTCATTCTAAAAAAAAAAAAAAAGTAAATAACAAAATCCAGCATATAGTAAATTTAGATCCAGATGCATACTGTCAAACTAAAGCAAAATTAAAAATCCAGTAAAATTGAGGTGATTATTTCATGCCAATTGATCAAAAAAAAAAAATTATCTAAGGAAGCTCAGCTAATTGAATCGAGTTGAGAGATAGCACACAGTCTGCACAATCTGGGTAAATATTATGTGATTCATTTTTGCAAGGAGCTGGCATACCTATAATGGACACTAGAGGGCGTAACTGATAGCACATTGTGTAACAGTAACCCTAAAAAACTAGGGTCATTTTTCCCTAGTTTTGTCCAGAATGTGGGCCATGTAGACGTCTCAGGGGAGGACAAGCACCCTCGCCTATGATGTCAGCACTTATTCACTCTTGTGTCGATCGCTTATGTGCCAGTTCCTTATTGAAAGATTTCCACACCCACTAAGGTAATCATTACTACAGGTGTGATATTGTAACCGACTGTGCCATTTGCTAAAAATCCTAGTCATCCCATGACTTGACAAGAAAAAAAAGAAAATGCAAGGTTGCACAATAACTCAGCAAATATACAACAAGCATAGTAGGGTAGTGGAGGCTTTTGATGTGCCGTACCTGATAACAAATGTTGGTCACCTGATTCGGAGGGCATAATCAAAAATAAGTACAAGAGAAGGATGATCTAGCCGAATACAAGGAGATTGGGAATCTAGTGGCGTGCGGTCCCGTCTGCGATTTCAAACCCGTTTCAGAATATTCTATATTTGCAAACGAATGTATATAAATTATGTTTTTAGTTTGGCTAGCTTGAAGTTCAGAATTTCAGCTACGAGATTTGATTTTTTTTTTTTTTTCTCTCATTTTTACATTGTTTTCAAACAGTGTGTGGTACTTATTTTCAAGCGCCAGTTTGCAGCGCCAGTTTTCAGACAATTGCTGAAGACTCAGCAATTGTCTTCTAGAGTCTTAAACTCTGAGGAGCAACCTTATCTAGCTTACTTTAGCTGAGCAGCATTTAGGTGTGGCACAGCCTACGTGACCAAGCAGTTTTCACTGGCCTTTCATATACTTATATATGTGCGTATTTTATTGTTTTTATATGCAACCAAATTTTCAGGTTGTAACTCATGACCAATCAGCTGTGCTGGTTTCAGGCTAAATGTTCTCACTCTTGGTCATGTGCAGTTCCTTCAGATAATTGTATCCTTTCTGGTTAGTGGGAGCAGAGAAATTGTGAGCACAGTGAGAGGCTTAAGTTGTGCTTCATTCAAGTTTCTGTGGATTGCGATGACAACCAAAATATATTAGCGATATAAGGGAAGTTTTGGGTTTAAGGTGAAATATTAGAGAGGTTACTTAAGAGATTAGAGCTAAGAGCTTATTTTGTCACTTTGATGTTTGGCTTATTTGGTCAGATTCAAACAAAGAAGAAAAATGTAGGTAAAATAGTTTGTATTTGACATCTCGAAATCTATTTGCTTTTTCTAGGCCTCTTTAAGAAGATTATTCCAGATGTAGATTTGTTTTTAGCTTTCAGAAAGTGTGCCCTCTGGTGGAGATGTCTGGAACAGCAGTTGGATTATAAACCTTTTGCTTTTTGGAAAGTAGAAAAGTTGCTCATTGCATAAAAATGTGCTCTATTAGTGCCATAAAAAGTACTTTTAGGAGTGTTAAAAGAAGCACGTTTCTGCATTAATTTAGTTATTTTCTAAATCTACACAGCGAGTTCCTAATTTATTCATAGAAGAAAGAAAAGACAATTATTTGATCTTTCATGTTTTAATTTCTTTCCAAACATTTTGCAGTCAACAAACACACACACGCTTACCACACACACATACACAAAGTGCAGATGTAAGACAATGACATTTGCAGGGCACTGTCTTTGAATCATAGGCAACATGACGAGCAAAGGTGCTAAGTATTGCACATTCTTATCAGTTTGGGAAACTTAACCTGTCAGACCATCCAGCTTGACTGAAAAACGAGCGGACGAAGCAGTAAACTGCCTGCGTCTCCGTTTCCCAGGATTTATCGTGGGACTGATGTTAATTCCTGACCCTGACTGAGTGATAGGAGATGCATCTCTGCAGGAAGAAACTTAAAATGAGGTAAGTGTTGACGATGGCCAGCCTGCACGCATTCCAGCTACATTTCCCGGAAGAGGAATTTGTTGTTTCGAAGTTAGACAGCAAAAGTGGCCTGATTAAGCTGCTGAACCAAAGACGGTTTTCGAGAACTCTTATTGCCTTCCTGCCCTCGACGGAAAACAAGCTTTTGTCATTTAAACGTGGGCCGTACCCGAGTGTCGGAACCGTACAGTCATAATGAACCGAAACAAACACAATAAACAAGGAAAGCTGAATAAAGGGGAGGTATTTGAATGGTCCTAAGACTTATTCCCCGTGCTATAATCAAAAACTGTGGATTTGTTATTGCTTCAGAACAGCCACTAATTTGACCAGCTTAGATATTTGCGGGGGGAGAAAAAAAAAAAACGCAACGCGTTACAAAAGCCAAACCAAGTGATAAATTAGCATTCAATTCGATTTCAACACCGCAACTAAAAATTGTGCAGCGTCCCAACATTTTTTTTTTTTTTTTTTTTTTAATTTCCTTATTTGGTTCTCAGGAGCAGTCAGGGAAGGTGGCCGCCATTTTCCCCCTTGGCTGTTGCACC